CCCCAAAACCCCAAAACCCCAAAACCCCTCAAGTCAATTTGAAAAGAATTAGATTTGAATTTGTAGTATTGAAAATCGTTTTAGTTTATAAGAGTTTAGCTTATAATCACTTAACTTCAAATTTAACATCCTTAGTTCCTTCTAATCTCTTAATGAGCTCCTCGTAATTTCCACTCTCCTTGCTCATCTCATTCTTTATCATAAAAGCTTTCATCACTCCAATGATCAATCTCAAATTCTCCTGAGCTCTGAACACTTAGGCGAATGATGGCGTAAACATAATCATTCTTAATTCAAGTTGGAGAATAAGTGGTAAATCAGTAAAGGCTAAGTGACCCATTTCATTTAAGAGAGACAGCAATGAGTTCTTGTTGCCCTGTTTATCTCCGTATAGCTTAGAGGTTAGATCCCAGTTTTTGGGAATATTGCCTTGGAACATGTCAGAAGTTATTGTGCAATGCGGTTATTTTACTATGATCGTTCTGTTCTCGATTTCATCCTTAATAGGGGTAAGCCATGGATCTAAACTTATGATCTTCTTTACTCTATCGTCCTTTGAAGCAAATGAAATAGCAGTAGTTGAACCAAGTCCATGACCAGCTACAGTTAAATTTTCCATATCGAGTGAAACCTCTTCGCCTAGTTGAGTCTTAGTGATGTGCTGCATCTCATCTAGCAAATTGTTTACTTCCCTTAGTCTCACACCTAGTTTTGTGACAATTTTATTTTAATCCCTCATATCGAATGCTTTGTAGTATTTGTGTGATTTTTAATCGTTAAAATGATGAAGAGCTGAGCCATCGTTATGTTCAATGCTGAAAACTATAAAGCCTTAACTGGCAAGGTCTTTGCAGATAGTTGAGAACCAAGACATGGTATTTCCAACTCCATGTGAGAAGATAATTGGGATAAACTTTCCTTGGTGCTTGTCACTTTCGCTCAATTTAACTATTGGAGCATCAAATTTAACTTTTTGTTTTACACTCAGAAGATAGTAAAATGGACCTGATGGCACTAAATCAGCCCCAAACTTCATTAGTCCTTTTATCATGTGTTCTCCGTCGTAAGCCCATAACATATCTTTGTAAGTTTTGCCTTTTAGGTTCTTATCAACAGGATAGTAAAGAAGTAATCTATTTCCTGAGATCTTAGTCATAGTCTCTTTGCAGCCTACTGTGAATCGTCCAGAGGGTACGAATTGCTGGTAATTCTCTACTGTGCCAAAGAAATACACAATCATGAGGGAAATTAAGCAGGTCAAGTAGTAGTAATAGTAGGAGAGGTCAACCATAATATCGAATATGAGAGTAATAGTGTAAAATGAGAAACCAGTAAGTAGAGGCCAAAGATGTACTCTAGTTCCTCTATAGTGATTGTTCACGAGAAGAGTTAAGAGGACGAAGAAGAATATTGAAAGTTCTACCTCCGTATCTGGGTCTCCTGCCAAAAAGAGAATCATGCACTAGAAGAAGGCTGCTCCAAGAGCAATATACTCTAGAATTTAGGAATTAGTAGTGATACTTTTTGCCATTTAAGGATTTGATTATATTATAATAGGGAGGTTCGAACAATTAAACTTAACTTTTTAAACTTTAATCTATTATTAATTTAACAAACTGCTTTTTTCATTATCCTTGCATAATACTTATATTGATTGAGTCAATTTTACATATTTACAGAGGGAATCATCTTATAGACATCAACTAATATACTCTCAAAAACTGGTATAATGCGACGAGGCTGTCGTTCAACAGAAAAGCATTCCGTTCAGAGTAGCTTCGCTTTCAAAATCTTAGCTCTCTTTCTCGGTTTTTTGCATTTTAGTCATCTTTTGACCTTCGCTTTTATTAGCCTCAGTATTATCTTATTAAGAAATCAATGCTTGAGCTTGTTCTTTATTAATCTAGAAACTTTTAAACTGCTTTAGCCTCTCTTTGATGTTAGGAGATATATCATGTGGATTGTAATGTTATGGATCTATTCTATTAAGTAAGTTACTGGTATTATTGGACATCTGACTGTGAAGCTTTTAGATAGTAAGATTATGCAAATTATTGTTATTAGGTATAAGGGAAATTGAGAACTTCTCTCCCTCCTCATATCTTTACTTGGGCTTTCCTCGCTAATGCATTAAGCCCTTAATTGATGGCTGAGGTGACTCATGGTTGCCTATATAAAATTATTCAACCTCTAACCTCTGCATGCTTGGCTTTAAATCTGATTTCATATTAGAAGCAGAGTACTTGGAGAGACTATCATTTTTCCTACCTTTACTCTTTGGCTTAGGCTTCTTAAACCAGACATGATTTAATGCCTAGGATGCATTTAACCTCTAAGTTGGATCTGGCTAGATTAATTTAGATATGAGGTCGAACGGTATTGAATTAAATGTTTTAATTTGTTCAACTTCTTGGTTGATATACTGAATTTTGCCAGTCTAAATGCTTTGATGAAAACTCGCTATCCTTTTGGGGTTAAAAGGAGGATAACCAGTGAACATGTAAAATATGACACACCCAATACTCCACATATCAACTTTTTCATCATATTTAGAACCACCTCTCATTTCAGGAGCACTCCACTCTTCAAGACCTGTTTTAGTCATCATAATTTTATCTTTGTTTATCTTTTTGGCGACATTAAAATCACATAATTTGATCTGAAAATAATCCTAGAGTGATTTATCATTGTTATTTATCAGAATTATATTGTCTGGTTTGATATCTCTATGGCAAACTGCTGCCTCATTATGAAGATATTTCGCACATTTCAAAAGTTATTTAGCTATAAACTTTGCTTACTTCTCTATATTTAGTACGTTAATAAGAAATTAGAGAATAAATTTTAGTGAATCGTACCTTTAAATGGACCGTGCTGAGTAATGTAATTTTACAGATCTTTTCCGTCTACATATTCCATTACAGTATAAATAGTGTTTCTAAGGTTTTCAAAGAAAAGCTCCTTAACGATAATGAGGGTAGGGTGCTTAAGTTACTTTTGAATAGTATATTCATTTTAAGCAGCCATTAACTTCTCTTCATCATCCGTTCTCATTACCTTTACAGCCATTAATTCACCAGATTTCTTCTCAGTGCACTTTGAAACAGTAGCAGACAATCCCTAAATAACGATGTTAAGGATATAAATTACCTCTCCAATAAATTCACCTTCATCATAAGCTTAGTGAAAAGGACTCCTGTAAACGCTTGAGCTTTATTATACCAAATTCTCTTCATTAGTTCCGTTCAATTTCACCACAGATATTACCTGCTATTCCTAGCCAATTAACTCTCTAAAGCTCTTTTGAACAACAAGAACTTAGCCTAATATTGTTTTAGCAAGATCTAATCTAAATTACCTTTAAGTTTATTCCTAAACGAGTCTCTTTTACTTCCAGATGAAGCCACAGACGAAACTTTTGAGCATTAACTTAGCTGTGTCTGCTTTTTATGGCTATTGTCCGAATCATTCTGGGAAAGATGATTGTTAGATTTTTTAGTGCTCATTGCCTTGTGATGTCTAGTATATGAATAAGCATCCAAAAATGTGTTTGCTTTTTGAATGTTGTGGTTAGCTTTAGCTGTCAATGGATCTGTTCCTTATTCAGAAATTACATTGACTGTACTCATTTTTATCAATTTATTCTTGTCTAGAGGAGATTTCTTAGGCACCAAATCAGAGCTCATCTGCGAGACAGTTAATGAGGGCGATAAGCACATTCTAATTAGCCCGTTATTTCCCTTGCCTAGATTGAAACCAAGAAATAACTCTTAATTTTCATTACTCTGCTCTTCTTGCTTGGATGTGTCCACTTTTAATGTTTTATGCATGTTCTATTAAAACAAATTATTTTAAAGTACTTTTTTATCTTAAAAAAATATATAATTAAGATCCATACTATAATCTAACTTAACGGGGTTTTGGGGTTTTGGGGTTTTGGGG